TTAGGTCTGGGACCACCCCCTTTCTCTCTCTTTTCCCTCTCCCTTCTTCCGAACCTTTTTCCACTTGGTTTGAGTTCCCCAACATCTAGGTTCGATGAACCCAGATTTATGGGTTCCATGAAACCCCAACAAGGCAGCATACACATTCACACGCAGTTATACACACTTTATTCCCAAACAGTTATACATTCATACGCAGCATACACATTTCAAAATACACAGTAGAGAGAGAAAGAATAACCTAAATTCATATACTAGAAATCTAGCTTTTACAGATCCCATATTCTACATTCCATTAAACCCCAACATCTTGGTTCCGTGGAACCCAGATTTTTAAAATCAAGTATATGTATAATTTTATATACTTAATTTTCATACTCTTAAAAGATTGTCAAAATCTTACAAAATTTGGAGGTAAATAAAAGTGAATAATTTTTAAATTAAAATAAAAATACCAAACTATTAAAGGGCAATGTATTTCAAATTTTAATCATCACAATGTCATCTAAAAATTCAAATCTAATTGCTCAAATTGTTAACTACTTAAAATTTATAGTTTAATTTAAGGACTTAAATGTTGTAATCTTATAAGTTTGAGGTTTTAATTATAAATTTAAGCCCATCAATTTTTATATGTTCTATCCTTAATGGTGTTTGCCCCTTGCAAATAAAAAATCATATAAATTTTCATAAAATTATTATAGGGTTTATCTACTTTACATTTTGAGTTAATGGTATATTAAATATATTTTTATTATAAATTTATATTAAAAATTAAAAATTAATTTTTAATTTATTAATTATTTAATTAAATTTATTTAATATTAAAATTAATATCAATTTTTATATTTTTTCATATATTTATAATAAAAAATACTTTTAACTTATATTTAAAGACACAAATTAAAAAATTTATTATTAAAAGACTATAATTTTAATCAACTAAAATACCCTCTAACCCTAAGTAATTTACAAAATTACCATTAGTGTTTAATTTTCTAAAAAAAATAAAGGTGTGAAAAATAGAGATAAAAGGAAGAAGAATTGATTACTCTGCTTCTTTATATTATTTTACATATTACCAATGCGCGTGCAAGGAAAGCAACAATTTTTTGGGTGGAATGGAATCTTTTGACTTTCCGTCAACTAACCCAACGGTGGAGCGAGAAAATACTTTTGAGGGCGGAGAAAGAAGAAATGATTACTCCACCTCCTTATACTATTAAAACATTATCTTGCAATCTGCCACAGATCAGAACCATCCAAGGAGGAGGGCCGGTGATATTGGAATTGGACCCTCCTCTTTTCTGTTTTTTTGATGGTCCAACTTTTATAATTTATCACAAAAGACACTATAAAATAAGATATCCTTGTATTATTTTACATATTACCAATGCGCGTGCAAAGAAAGTAACAATTTTTTGGGTGGAATCTTTTGACTTTCTGTTAACTAACCCAGTGATGGAGCAAGAAAATATTTTTAGGGGCAGAATGAAATTTTAATTAAAAAATAATTATTTTGTGTGTTAATTTAAAAAATAAAAAAATTATTTAATGAGTAAGATTTATTAGTTTTTAATGATAAATTAATAATAGTTAATAACTTAATATAAAATACTATCAATTGAAAGATAAAAATTAAGATGTGTTAGGTAGAAGAATATATATTATGAATAAAGAAAAAGAAAATATAAAAATATTAATAAACAAACACTTTATAAAAAGATGAGAATAAATAATTTTTATTCAATTAATTTTTACTTTTTCTTATATCTCATGTTACGTCTAATTTTCTAGTCTTTCTCATTATCATCAAAAGTAATCTTCAATAATACAAATATTAGAAAATAATTAAAATAATAAGAAATAATTAAGGATAAAAAAGATAAAAACAAAACATAAGGACTAAAATAAATTTTTTACACGCGAGTGGGTGGTTAGGTTGGATCCAGATGGGTCATTCAATCTGAGTACAAACCATCTTCAAAGGAGCAGATTGCTTGCAGTTTCTAAACCAAATCCATAACCATTCTTCCCCCATCAACTTCAATCTTTATTGATCTATGGGTTCCCCAGTTTTCCAAGAAATAGCGGATGCACTTGTCCTGTGGAGCAACTAACAACAATTTTCCTTTATTTAGTTTTAATTACTGTGAGTTACTAGTTATTATTGTGACTATAGTTATAATTATATTGTATCATATTATACTGTAATTATGTTTAAATATCAGTTTGATATTTAATTATTTATTTTTTAAAAATATAGAGATGCTATATGATAAATTTTATTAATTATTAATTAAAATTTTAAAAATTATATATGTATAATTACTAAAATAGATAATATTTACTATTTATTAATAATTTAAGTCTTTTAAATTTTATATGATAGGTGTATTTTAAGTTTTATAAAAAAGTAACTTATAATGAAGGAATGATTTTTGAATCTCATTAATTAATTAATTAATTAATTAATTAATTACTATATCTTATTTTATTTAAAAAATTTAAGTCTACCTGAGTCAAGGTCATTAAGACATTGACCACTTTGAAATTGCAACAATCATGATTTTCACTACTCAATACTAATTCACTGATGATATATCTATGTGTGAATGAAGTGTTGATGCTTGCTTGAAGAAAATTACCCAACTTTCTGGGTCTGTTTTGGATTTGTAGTCAATTAGTCTAAAATTGGCCAAATAAGAATAGGATTCTATGCTTCTATATCTGGGAAGTTATTGGATGGGCATATGTGTGATTGTTTTTCTCTTGAGAACCCTTTCTATTTTCTTCATTTAGATACCCTTTTCCCTCCACAAAATTTTCATTCTACATCCATTAATCATAGACTACCTGTATGAATTTTGTTAAGGATTAGATTAGATTTTTTAATTGAATTTATTATGAACATAAAATTTAAAATTACTTTGCTATAATTGATTGGAAAACATGGTACAGCTTCCATTACTTGCATAAAGGCTGTTCAAAAAGGATAATCCAGGGTATCAAGGCTTCAGATGTTCTATTTATTGCATATTTTGAGCTGTAGGTACACATGTGAAATTACTCTATTTTAGCTTTTATTTGTCCCTCTATATCAATTATTGTCCTATGAATTTCAAGCCTAATAATGTGTGTGTGTGGTTTTTTCCTCAAATTTGGGTTAAAGATATCAGATTTTGAATTAGCAGAATGACTTCCTTCTTAACTGTCACACCGCCCTATTGCTACAATTGACATGATATTTGAGTAACAAAGTTCAAAACCTTTTTCTTTTCCTCTTTTTCAATCAATCTTGAGCCCAACTATTAGATTAAAATGGAGTCTCTTCACCAATTGTGGATGAGAAGACTGATGTGTTTCCATTTGAAGTCATGCAGGAAACCAGTTGATAGCTGTCTCCAAAGCTTACAGATTTGGGTTACCACTTTCTAGGCAGTCACATAGCCAATCTTCACTACTACAGAAGAAGCTACAAAGTAAGCCACTTCTGTTTTTCTTTAAAGTTTAAACTCATTTCATATTCATTGATGCACATCATTAATATTATCTAAGATTTCACACACATGCCTACTTATAAAATAATTCACTCTAGGTTACCTATGTCTCTAACTATCGAGTCTGTTGTTAACTTGTTATAATTCACACAAGGTTAGGAGCGTGCCTAAAAATGTGTTCCTTTCAGTTGTTGTCCCTGATGCCAATGGTGATTTAGCCAAAATGAAAACTTTTCCTGCTCTCTTTAATCTATTTTGAACTGAAATGGAACTAATCAGTTTCCCACTAAATTAAGTTCTTGAATTCTCAGGATGATCAACTATTGATGTTGTAAATTAGCCTTACTGCATCTAGCAAAGCTTAACATAGAATTTTGCATGTGCCCATGAAAAGCCATAAGTGATGAATGAGTGTGCTGATTTGGATTTGCAATGGTATGCCATGCATATGCAGGGATTTAGGGTTAGATTAGTTCTTCTTCATGAGGATGCCAGCAAAATTAACATTTCATCTGCAAGATTAGGTTAGATTAATTCTTTCTCTCTAAAGAATTCAATTCAAACTTATTAATTGGAATTTAAATGTTTATATAGACTATTCAATTTGTAATATATGGTCCTCATATATTTGAAGGACCTCCTGGTGTGGAAAATAGAACCATGGTCTGGGCGATGCTTTAAGAGGTTTTTGCTTCTGACATAAGTCAGATATATTGTGTATTTCTGTTTCAAATCCATGGTAATTGTTATACAACTTACAATTGCAAGTGCATTATTGTTAGTTTATATTAGTTGGATTTTCTTTGATATGTTTATCATATATTTTAGGCAGCATTTTCTTTTTCAATTTTTATAAATTTTCTCCAAGCCCCTGAGGTTAATCTAGCTACAAAGAACTTGGATTGAGATCTCTTATAACCAATTAGAAAAACTGTGCAGCTTAGCCACAGAAATTGGTGTGCTTGACGTTTTTAACCCCCAATTTTTTTTTTTCTATTTTGATATTGAGTTGCATGATAGGAGACAAACCTCTCCAATCCTATAACCCACCCCACCCAATGTTAAGCAATTCAAATTTATAACCTCTTACTTCTATTAAAAAAAGAATACTATTAAACTATTTAAATTGTTGTTTTCTCCAATTTTTAGGTTTGGAATAAGATATGCTTATTGAAATAATAAAATATATAGTTTCTTCCAATTCATGTAAAGAGAAAGATGTAGAGGATAATTGACAATGTTCGTATCTGTCTGGCCTCCATTTTATTCTGATAAAAGTTCTACGTGGTTAAAATTCCAATAGAAAAACCTTCATATTAGAAATTGCTCTTTAGTGTTCAAGCTTCATTTAGAGAAAATGCAATTGGTTTTAAATCAAGTTGCCCAACTAAATCACTAATACCCTGTGTAGCGGGGCGAGAATCACTTGTTCATCCCAAATGTTGCAGAGGAGGAGGTGGTACAGAGATAAAGCTAATTGGGCTCAAACTGGTACTTATCGGCTGTCAAAAACATGGTCAAGGGTGGGATTCTTGACTAATCTTTTTGCCCCAAAAGTGAAACTGGAAATATAGAATAGACTTCGGTGCTGTTGTTCAAAATGTTAGTAGTGATACTCTTTCTACTTTGTAGCATGTTATTATTATGCTTAAAATGATTACTTTAGTAATCTTATGGTTTAAAGTAGCTTCTTGTACTTAATTGTTTACATCTGTTTGAGTGGTATTTCCTATTATGATATGTTGGAAGTATAGCTTCTAAGGTGATGCTGTAGTGACCAATTGATCCCTAAAACAGTCACAGACGAACTAAAAGAAACATTCAACAGGAGAAAACAGAGATGGAAAGAAAATTAAATCTGCAGCCAGACACGGATAAGTAAGAGGACAACAAATCTCTTGGTTGAATCAAGAAGGACATCCTCCTATCCAAGCAGCTCATTAGCTTGAATACTGGCACACCTACTACCCAGAGATGGTGTGGCAGAATGAAGCTAGATAGCACCAAAGGAATTGCTGAAAAGTCTTGGTAATTTCTACGACATCCAAGTGAGCCAAACCTGCAGACCAAGGCAGTCCAAGAGAGAGCACCAGACAAGCAATGCTTTCTTTTTCTGGCAATAATTTAAAATCAACCACCCAGCCAAAGATGGTACATCCCTTAAACCACCTTGAGATATGTCCATCACACAGGTAAAAGCATCAAACAAGGACAAAAACATAAACTGAAAATAGGATCAGAAATAGAGGAATTTTTAGCTCTGAAAGGCCACAAGGGAGATCCCAGCCCTTGTGCCTGATTTACCTATATGCATCATGGCGCCATTGTTAGCTGTTTGGGGGCAGCCACTGAACCCCTCATCATCATGATTAATCTTCTGCCCAAAGACAACACTCCAGGAAGGCATATTGGAACATCCACTGCACACGTACTTTCTCATCAAGCACCAAGAAACATTCATTCAAATAAATATATACCCAACATATTCAATCCTTTGATCACGTTGAACAACTAGAAAGCTACTCACGCTCCTCTAAAGACAACATTCAGAACCCTTAAAGATCACAATCATCACATAACAAGTTGCATAGCATAGCTTAGAAAATAAAACTACACACAAGATTATATTCAATTCAACAAACTAATAGCTAGACATTAACCAGCAGCTTCTGATCTCAGCAAGAACGACACTCCTCTTCACCAATAGAACTAGCTCTCACTTCATACTTGACTGTCATCATGCCTCATGCTTCTACAAACATAAACATAGTCTTTTTCATAAATATATATAAAAAAGCAATGAAATATTGTTGGCCAAACATAATATATCAAATATAGTTAACTTTGAATTGGAGATCGATATAATGATCATCAAGAAACAATGGAAATAAGTGTATGATTGAAAGAAAGGTTAGCACTTAGCTTCTAGCTTAATTAGTATTTTGTCCATCATTAAGGTTGGGTTTGGATGAAATTATCTACTTTAGTACGAAATTTGAGATGCGGCAAGAGTTTTAAAATTGTTTTTTAGATTATGTTCTTTTGTCTAATTGAAGAGAGAGTATGGTTTAGGAAGGGGAGAACGCAGGAGAATTTGAAAAGGGATTTCAGAAAACAGCCTCTTAGGCGATATTTTAAAATGACAAGTTAGTAATAATATCATAATATTTTTTATGAAAAAAGGTAATAATATGAAATAGGATTTTGAAATTCTTTTCTTCACATGAAATCCATTCCAACCTTAAATATCATTTCATCTCAATACAAGTATACAATCCATGAGATGGATTCAAAACCCTTAGAGACAATTGGTTAAGATTTTGAGATTGATCCAATTGGAGGTTTAAAGTTCAAACATTAGGTTGAGTGGGAAAAAATTTTAAAAAAGAAAGAATTATCTATTCTTGTACATATTCCATCATTCCATGTACCAAAAAATAAAAAAACCTTAACAAAACAAATTAAAAATAAAAAAAGGTGTACCTTGTCACTCCACCTTGATTTCCTTTAAATGTGTCTTATTTTCAAATTTGGCTCGTCTAAGCTCTCTATCATTTACTGCATTTCCTTTCAGCACCATGGAAAGTTCACAAAGTTGGTTCAAGTTTTCTAGGTCTCCAAGAGTGAATTCCTTAGGGTCATTTCTATCAGCTCTGAGCACGATCCCACGTAATTGCCTAAGATCTGTTAATCTCCTAGCTGATTTGGGGTAGCAAGCTAACCTGTAGCAATGAAGAGTCCCTAGATATGTCAAGTTGAACAATTTTCCTATCTGACTTGGTAAATTCTCAAGAGCTTTGCAGTTGTCGAGATTCAAATATCGAAGATTATGTAATTTACACAAAGATCCGGGCAATCCTTTTATTTTACTTCCACTAAAGTTCATGTGCCTCAAATTGATCAAATTCCCTATCTCATCTGGCAAATTCTCAAGAGATTCGCTGTTGTCCAAATTCAAATATTGAAGATTATGTAACTCACACAAAGGTCTGGGCAATCCTTTTATTTTACTTCCACACAAGTTAATGTGCCTCAAATGAATCAAATTCCCTATTTCTTTTGGAATTGTATCCACTAATGCATTGTGGCAACCAAAATCCACCAACCTTAGCCGTTTTGCTTGATTAAAAATGATTTGCACAGCTTCATTGGTTATTGCATTCTCTCCAGAAATGATCACGAGGCTATGCAACTTTTCAGCACCATAAATGGAAGTAGGAAGACAACACCCCTCTGGTATCAATGCTATCAAATAACGAGCTTTTGTGGAAGACAAATCTATCATTGAATTGCCTCTTGGATTCATGACCTCAATCACAATTCCATTGTTGATCATCAAAAACCGGGAAAAGTCATGCATAATGTCATGCATCTTCCATGTTGATTTTAGACCATCTTCATCCATCAGAAAATCTTGGAAGAAAGAGTGAGCTGCTAAGTAGCTAATGTACTCTCTTCCCTTTGATTCTAAATCTTCACGACTGTTCCATCCTAAATAACCTTGTGCCATCCAGTGGTATATTATTGTTTCTCCATTGAATTCAAAATCCTTTGGGAAAATAGCACAATACTTCAAACATTTTCTCAGTGGCAAAGGCAAATAACTATACCACAACGGTACAGAAACAACAAACTCTCGATGTGGAATCCCGAAGCCCAAGATTTCACTGTTCAAGATCTTTTCCCACTCTTCCCTACGGCAGTCAGATCTTAGGAGGGCTCCTAGAACCTTTGCAGCAAGAGGCAAGCCTCGACACTTGTTTGAAATTCTCTTCCTAATATCCTCTAAATTCTGATACTTTTCAGCACCCCTTCCAGAAAATGCTTCTCGACTAACTATCATCCAACACTGTTCATCAGATAACGGTTCCAAACGAATGACATGAGAGTCCAGCATCATGTCTGCCACCGTATCCTTACGAGTAGTTAACAAAATCCTACTCCCTGCGGCACCATGTTTGACAGTCTGGATCAGTCCTTCCCAGTGTCGCTTGTCATCTACCCACACATCATCCAACACAAGAAAAAATTTCTTTCCGTGGATAGATCTACAAATTCTATCAAGAAGGGCAGAAAGTGGAAATGAATCAAGGGAGTCTACTCCTTGAAAACTTATAACACCCTCAACTCCTTTAATTATTGTTTTGGCAACATTTTTCTGGTCAAATACTTCTGAGACACAAACCCATATTCTATGATCAAAATGCTGCTTAACCAGCTCATCCTGGTAAACAAGTTGAGCAATAGCTGTCTTTCCCACCCCACGCATGCCAAGAACAGAAATTGTCTTAAGTTTTTCAGTAGATGCAGACAACAAACAGCTTACAATGTGTCCCTTAACCTTATCTCGACCAATTATGGCTGACGCATCAACAAGAGCTGTACTCCGAATCCAACTGCTATGTTGAAACACAGAATTTGATATTAAGTGGAGGTTATAACTACCGGCAATGTCATCTAGCCTGTCACTGATATCCTTTAATTTGAAAGCAAGATTATCACGCCTGGCAACTTGGGCAGTACGTAAACGGTGGGTGATGTAGGAGCTTACCTTGCCCTTCTGCATAAAAGGTAATCCAACAGCTTTTATTCTTAACTTCATCATGTGTGCAGTGATCCACTCGTCCAACACATCCACCAAGTCATAAGCTGCATCTGTAAGCCCATTATCCATCCAATCTTCGATAGCTATGTTAGTCCCTCCCTCTTGCTCTGCATCCTCAAAGATGGCATTTAAGGCCACAAGGTTGTTCCCAAGCCTTTGGAGTTCATATTTGGAATCTCTCTCCACCTTCACCCCTTCTAACGATGCTGCAGTTTCAACTATTGCTATTAGCTCCAAGGCTGAGGGAACAAGTGCAGCTGCCATTTCTGGACCTATATATGGATCAAAGAATGCATATGTATCAGCAAAATATAAAACGGAAGAATAAGATCATAAGAGATTTTGTGCAGATTGATAAGTGGCTATATAATATAA